CAAGTAAGCCGATCTTGTACTCTTTAAAACTTACTTTACCAAGTAGTCTTCCACAGTTCGTAAGTTTGATTACTAGCAAAGGCGATAAGAAAACCTAAAAGCTCTAAGAGGCCAAACAAGGGTTATACTCCAAGAGAACGAGAATGCAAAGAATGAAGAAGTATGCAAACTCTTTAGTCCTACTAACACAAGGAATGTAATGTGTTAGATAATGTAAAATAACAACAAAAAAGGGAAAACAAAAGAACCTAAAGCACTAAGAGTCAAAGAAAAAAAAAGAACCAAACCTGAAACCTAGAAAACGTTGGATCAACTTGAGAAACATTTTTAAGGGGTTACCGGTGTCCAAAAATTTTGTAAACATTTTTAATGTCTTTAGATATGTGTAGAAACCACCTATAAATTTTCAGAACCAAATACCTTCAGTAATATCCAGTAGACTATGTTGAACGGTGAGTCCTCAAACAGTCTGTTTTTCGTGATCGCTTTGTTTGAAGGTGTTATTGACCTCCAAAAGTTCTAATTTTTTGTTTGAATGATATTAAATATATTTAGTTTCAATATTAAAATTTTTACCATGAAATTCCTCATATATAATTTTCAAGAAATTCAACAAGATTCTAGACTGAATTTACTGATGAAACTTGAACGATGTATTTGAAGGCTCTAATGAACTCCGATTGGGGTGAATTTTGGACTAGATATTACTCTTAGGATGAAAATGAGATATGGAGAAAAGAATCCCTAAAATCCTTCGTTTGAAATTTTTCAATTTTTGATACTTTTTTTTGGCCTTTTGATTTTTCAGTCCCTTTTTTTTTATGAAAAACAGCAAACTAACAAGAAGGATTTGAAGCTAAATTTAATTTAAACAAAAAGAACCTGAAACGATGAATATTCTACGAACTAGCTCCGTTGGGTACCTTGGTTGTTTTGTGTGCAAGAACAAGAAAGATTGCTTGATTCTTTCCAAGAATCATCCCAAATCTGATATCAATTGATAGGGAAGCGGTGGCGGGTTAATGAATGTTGCTCTTGTTGAAGAATCAAACCTAGAAAGCTCTAGACTCGATGAAGAACAATGGGGAATGAATAGGGAAAGGTGGCGACAGCAGCTAGGGTTCTTTAGGGTTTCTTTTAGGTGTTGGAAATAAGTTAAGGAACAACATTAGAACAATATAAACAAAAGATAAAGAACTTAAAAATAAAGTATGATAATCAAGAAATCAAAAGATCTCCCTTGTGAAGGTGGATGGCAAAGGTGATGATGGTGAGGATGGATTTATGGAAAATAGATGGATAATGTCCTATCGAGCCCTCCTAGTCACAATGAAAAGGCAAACACGATAATATGTCTCTAACCAACCCTCCTAGTCGCAATTGAAAAGGCAAATTTGAGTGTGAAGATTAATCTCCCTCACAAAAACATGAAAGAACTCTAGGAGAAGAAGCTTCGAAGGCACAAGGCAATCATCACTTGCAAAAACGAATTCTCGTTGTATTATTAATCAAAGAAATCTGTCTTACAAAGTTGAATGAAGCATCCTTTATATAGGAGATGAGTTCTAAAGGTCTTAAATAACTAATGAATAAAATAATAACAAACTAAACATGTCTTAACTCTAATTCCTAATAAAATAATAATAACTAAAAAAATATTTTAACTTAACCTTAATTCCTAATAAAATAATAAATATAATCCTAAAAGATAATGTATCATCCTATATTAAATTAGATTACAAATAATCAATATAAATATTGAAAATTCGTAATATTTACAAAATCATGTATTAGTCTCGTATAGGAATTTCTGCATGCGTTGTCTTCACTAAAATGAACGTATCTTGAGTTCCCGATATCGGATTGATACGATTCAAGAACCGTTGGAAAGATAAGAGACAGAAGATTGTATAGCTAGAAGACATGTTGACCAAACAAGATCAGAATCCCATTCAAAATATCGTCGTAAGTCTGTTGTTGTTATGGTCTTTTTTTCCAATGCTTGGACGAGTGGATCATTTGGAAGAGTTATTACGTCTTCCTTTGATGTGAGCCTTGTGATGCATGTATATCAGAAGCCTTTTTTCGCAAAGGGTCAATGCGAGGTGATAAGAAGAATGTTAATCATTCCAATTCTACTTCCATTGCCAGTGATCATAGAGATTCTTTTGTTTCCGGCTACTCCTCTCCTGGAGGTACAAACTTCTTTCCCATGCAAATTCACATTAATTGCTTACATTCTACCATGCTCTATTGTCACTGTCTTTTCTTCATTTGCTCGTTGTTAGAACTTTCCCCGGGAAAGATTTTCCCGGAAAAAAGGTAAAAAGAATGGTTTGATTTTCTGAACCCATATCATGATGCAGACAATAGACATAATAAACTAAGATTTGGAACATTTTTAGTGGTTTTTCATATTGTAGATTTCAGCAGTTTAATACACTAATTTCCATCACCAACCTGGACCAGCCTGAATTTCCACTTTGCCATACATCTGGATTGATAAATATAATTATAGTAAGTGATCAATCTTGACAACACAATTTAAAATTATTAAATTGAATATATAATAAAAATATTTGAAAAAATAATTTAGTGAGAATTTTGGAAGGATTAATTTTTTTTAATTTTGAGATACCACACTCTTCTGAGTTAATTACAGTCCACCCCCTTATCACTAGGGATGACGCATGATCTTATGTTAGGGGACGAACTTGAACTTATAAAATTTTAGATTTTAGATGACGAAAAAGGATTTTCAATAGAAAATACATAAAAAATCTAAAATATATGATAATTTAAAATTTTTAGAGGGAGTGACTGTCCCACCCGCCCCGCCTTGGTCCATCCTGGCTTATCACCATCATCATTCATCAATATTAGTTTGCTTCTAAGATTTTCAAAAATGGATACTCATTCAAATTTTTTTCTGACATAAAAGTTGTTCTGAGTTTTTTAAAGTATTAATATTCATTAATTGGATCACTTAATTACTATGAATGTTGAATATTGATTCAAATATAACGTGAAGCATATTCAAAAAAGAGAATGAAATTGTAAACATATATGTATTTATCACACAAACAATTTATATCTAATTTGTTAAAAAAAACATAGATTGGCATGGATTACTTTTTCAACACGTTAGCTTAAATTAACATCTAGGCCGAGGATATGATCTGATTGATAAAATATTAATATTTGAAAGCTCAACTGGAACGTTACTAAATTTAATGACTAATTTAGAATATATATCACAGTCTGATGATGTCTAGTGCAATTCATCCTAATTTAAACTTGCATTAAAATAAGAAGTCCTTCAGGGGCTGTACAGCTGTTAACTTGCATACTAATATGACAGGGTCACCGGAAAAGCTCACCGCAGTGACCGAGGAGTCCGGCGTTCATCCGAGCAATCGTCAGATCAGCTTTACATCAAGCAATGTCAATGCTGCAACTGAAAGCAGTTCAAGGAGAAACAGTATGAAGCGATCTCCTCCACCATGGCTACTAGACCCCAAGAGGATTGACTTGTTCTTCGCCACATTGTAAGTTATTAAGCCAGTTTTTAAGCTATTATTATGCATTGAAAGTTGTAAAAAAATTCTCTATTTTCTGTCGACAGGTCCAGCGTGGGTACAATTTTACTGATATACTTCTCCTTGCCAATCAGTGGAACGAATACAGATGGGAATGTGTTGTTATCATTAAAATTACGATGTTATATTCCTTTTCGTTGTTTTTCTTTATTATATATAATCAGTAGTATGAAAATTTAATCAATAACGTTCAATCAATGGTAAATTTGCATGACAAGTTTACATTTATTTCAAAAGACATTTCACACGTCATTTTCACATAAACAACCAATGATATTATCAATTTGGATAAATATAATGACCCACCAAATTAAAGTGGAAGTGATAAACATCAAATTTCAGTATAATAGAGGGATTATAATCAGTATTAGACCCCATGCATTTTTCTTTTTAGTTTTGGGTATTGTGAAACAAGGAGAAATCAGCCCACCAATTTGGCCTGTAAATAAGTAAGGAGCCCTACTAATAAAATTGGGCTGAAAATATGGTAACGGTCGATCTTGTACTGAATTAAATATTTTGTTATCCACTGGTGTTTAATCAATTAGACTACAAAATCTTAGGACAATGAGAATCTTCACCACCTTTGATCGTTAATATTTATCCAATAATGCCAAAAAACATGCACAAACTCGTTAACCATCAAACGAGTTTTATATCTTGAAACTATATATCGGTAAAATGCTTAATCTTAAACAACCAAAGTCCTCCCTTCAGGCAAAGATACAAGTCCTAGGATTTTATTTCGTTATTCAGTTAAAATTATCTTCTTCTTCTTTTCATTTGGAAGATGTCAAAGCTTTTTCAATTATTTTAAGTTTAATCATCATCATTAATATTGAAAATACCTATTTTACCTTTTGTTATCATTAGATGCTGATTAGTGGAAATTAAGTGGTCGCAAGTGGTAAAACAAGCTTTAAAGCTAATTAATTAAGGACATGAGTTGTCAAACGATGACTTTACAGCATAAGCAAGATATATTGTTTTCAAAGGACGAAGTTTATGCATCATCAAGCATAACATTTACTTTTACCATCTTGCTGGTAAATGTATTATTGTTTTTCGAGGAGATCAAATAAGCTCAACAACGTAATATTTATATTATACATTGAAAGAAATTACTATAAAACATTTGATCGTCACAATACTATATCTGATATGAGAAATTGACAATTGTTTAGTTCTAATATCGTATGAGATTATTAGAGAACGAGAAGAAACTAACGATTCAAAGATGTAAACTAAGACAATTGTGTGTTAGAGTTAAGGAGGAGAAGAACACATGGATGGTACATTCCTTTATTTGATTGAAAAATTAACTTTACATTTATACTCTCACTTCAGCTGACCTATCAGTAACCAAACTATAAATGGTTTACTCAATATGGTGAATATACTTTACACAAGAAACCTTGTAAGCCCTACTTTATGACCATAATTTTGAACATCCTCTCGGACCTGTTGTCTATATTCTTTAAAGCTAAACCTTCTATAAACCGAGGGCTTGCAGCAACTCTCTATCACAGTCTCATACGACGGGCAAAGGAAATATGCAGCCGAGTACCTTTCTTTAGTCCAATTAGTCACCACACAATGTTGCACACTTTTATAACGATCATTGCTCCATGCCTGCAGAACAGAAAAGCTAACTATTTAGCATGAAAAGCGTCGACAAATCACTGTTGCAAATTGCAAATGATTTGAAATTACCTGAAATAAATCTCCAATGTTGATAAATAAAGCTTCGGGATTAGGCTTGACTGCAATCCATTTGCCATCTTTCATTAATTGCAATCCTCCGATTTGGTCTTGGTGCAATACGGTGAGGAAATCGCTGTCTGTGTGTGGCATTAGACCAAACAACGGGAGAGGGCACGGCGGGTATCGGTTCAGCCGGAGATAGCAAGTGCTCAACAATGAATCTTGGAAGAAAGTGGAGTTATGACCTGATTTCTCTGCCAAAATCTGGGCTAACTTCTGAGCAAGATTCTCTACTTTTGTGGCAAACAGTTCAACCGATGAACTTCAAACGAGATTACGAGTAGATTAGACATTATGATTTATATCGAGAAATGAAATGAGTAATAATAATAGAATTAGTGCATAGTTTTCTACATAATGAGATAAAAAGTAGAATCTCCCAAGTATGAGGAAGTGGGTCCAACTTACAATCCAGTAGTTAGTAACAATGATATAAATCATGTATTAAGAAAATGGAACCCTTTAATGAGCAAAGTTCAATGTGATTGTCTGATATACTATTTCAAAAGTTTAGATTAGAACACTCTAATTAAAGCTACATCAATTACAAAACTATAGCTAAGCTATGCCGACATGCAATCTCAGAAGCTGTTCTTTTTTTTTTCTCCGTAAAATAAGTTTTATTAGTCAAGACTTAGATTAAGATCCTTGTTAAAAACCTCTCTAATAAAAAAAACTATAGCTAAGCTATGCCGACATGCAATCTCAGCAACTATTCTTTTTTTTTCTCGGTAAAATAAGTTTTATTAATCAAGACCTAGATTAAGAGTCTCGTTAAAAATCTCTCTAGATCTGACCTAAATGAAAGAAAAGAGTACTCTCAACTAGGAAAGAAAACAACACCAAAACACTTTAATGGTTTAATTGTAACAAACACTACACGGCAACCGAACCACACCACACCCAGGCCAAAGGCATACATCAGCCCACAACCTTGAGAACCACACAGAATAAGAAAACAAAATCTCCTTGGTGAAACCTGAGCACTCTATCTGATAATTGTAAAGCCCCAACGATAAACCAAAGTTACAGACCAGCCACTCCTAAGAAAAAACAAAACGTTTCGATTGAAACGTGGAAACAGCAGGATAGACCAATTTCCACCAGCACTAGACACGAGTAGCTATCACAAAACTGCACACCACACCCTTAAACAAGACATAAAACAAGTTGATTCTATAAACTGTCTAGCAATTAAGATTAAGGAATGTTTTGTAAGTACCTGAAAGTGGTATTTAAGGCACCAAAGCTGGAGATATCGGTCATGGGAATGTGGAAAGCTTCGGACCATGATAATTGCCTTAGCGAAGTAGCTGTTGGTGTTCCCCAACGGTAACTACCAGCGGAGAAATTCATGAACTTGTCTTCCCTGCACTTCTTGTAAAACGGTTGCTTGAACACTTTCACTTGCTCTTCCCTCATCTTATCCAATATGTCCCTTGAGATCCCATGGTTAATCACTTGGAAAAAACCCCATTCATTTGCAGCCCTAGCTATCTCCTCCTTGCAACTCTCCTTCTCGACCTCGTCTTCGAGACATAACCGGCTTAGATCGATCAACGGAAGCTCGTGTTCCTCGACCACGGTGTGGCGGTGAAGGTCATTCGGAGATGTTTCAGTTGTCGAGGCGTAAAGGGTCTTGTAGGTTTCATGGAATGGTGGGTCCGAATCCATCATACCTAGGGGCTGGTCTCAAAGCAAAGAGAGAACAAGAGAGAATAGAGCTTAACAGTGGCAACGTACTATACGTATATAAGTATATAAAGAGACAAAGAAGGATTTGAGTTGAGAGAATTAGAGTTGTGCAAAACTAGACTCGAAAATTTGATTTTTTTACTCGATTCGAATTGAAAAAACTCAACTCGAACTGACTTCGAGTTATGATTTCATAAACTCGACTCAACTCGAAAAAATTCCAAGTTCAAATCGAGTTGTATTTTATAACTCGAATAATTCAAAATTTTTAATAATTACTAGATTGATTTTTAAGTTTGAGTCGAAGTTTAAGTAGATTCCGTTGACTTTGTATGGTACATGTAAATCACATATAAAAAAAATATGAAAAGATATATTTATATTATATGTTTCTAAAATACAATTTAAATTGAAATCAAATAATATCATAATATTGTAAATACTTACAATTAAATTTAAATATAAACTCAAAAATTTGACTTAACTCGAATTTTATAAATTCGACCTGACTCGATCAAACGCTGACCCCAAAAGAAAATATTCGAGTTCGATCAAACGCTGACCCCAAAAGAAAATATTCGAGTTTCATTGTTAGAACTTGGAGGCATCTACATTTATTGTATATACATACATTTATTATGTTTATCATCTTTCTACATTCTTCTTCCACCTTCTTTTTATATATTATTATTTTCTCTCACTAATCCAATTTTCCAATGAAATCATATGTTTTTGAATTCTAAATCCATTATCCTATGTTAATTATGAAACAAGTATAATGATCATGAAAAAGGTGAATTTAGGGTTGAAGAAAGCTGATGAATTGGTGGAACACCAATGATAAACAATTTACATGATAAATAATATATACAATATAAATGGTTTAAATCCGTATGTTTATCCATAACTTAATTAAATTTTAAATTTAACAGTTCTTTATTTTATAAAGTAATAATAAATTGCATTGTTCAATGACAGCTACAAGGAGAGACCCATGCAAAATGCATTCAGTGAGTGGGACCTTATTCCATGTCGGCCTGCATCTCCAACTATACCTTCATATTCATATAATGATAAAGATTATTATTTATGTATGGATGAAGAATTTTATATTACAAATATAATTTTTTTTAAAAAAAGTTAATATTAAGATTTTAGATATATAAAATTTTAAAAATATAAAATTATATCTTTAATAAAAATAAAGAAAATATAAAAAAATACTTGAAATATATAAAAGTTTAAAATTTTGAAGAACAAAACTGCACTAAATACTAGTTCATTTCTTCAGTTGTTAATTAATTATCATTTCAGAAAAAAGTTGTTAATTAATTAATGTTTGAGTCTTTTCGTGGTGTAATAATATTTGGGTCACACTTACATCACATGGATTTGTAATAGGGTAAGGGCACAAGTTTTGGTATTGGAGAAAAAGGAAAGAAAGACTTTGGGTGATGTCATACCACATTTTTATAATATAATAGAGTAATTAAAGAATTTATCAAGTTATCTCAATAACTAAAAATATACTGTATTCTTTTAGATATCTTAAGTTTAAGTAGATATATTAGTAGGTGTGTATACATTATTAATAGCTAAGAAAATATAAACAAATATTATTTTATAATCATTTAAATTATTAAAAAATAATTAAATTTTTATTATAAAAAATATTCAGATAATAGTCTCTTTAACTAAATAGTGATAAATAAGATCATAAAATTCGAGTCATTAATCAATTTGTTTTTAAATGAAAATTCTCATTTGATTTTTCTAGATTCACTATTGTTAATGTCATCTCCCTCCTATTGTCTTCAAGTTCATACCCTCACCTAGAAGACATCAATAACTACACCACACTATTATGTGTATTAATTTCTAGTAATGTGTGTATACTTTTTAAATAAAGATGATTATAAGTTAACATATGATTATGGTTTTTTTTAATTTATTGACAATACATCCACCAAACACAGTTACTCAAATTCAGGTATTCAAGGACAAATTTGTTAAGGGGTTGGGAGGGTTGTTGCCCCTCCCAAATTATTTTGGTATAATTGCATTTTAACTCTTTTTAATTTAAATATTGGTCAAATAAAATCTTTGTTCCTCCTAATTTTTAGATTTAGATATTTAATAGAGCATTATTCTTTTGATATAAAATAATTTAACCTTGTCAATATTTGTTCCTAACATGTCCTTTAAAGAAAACAACATGTCTTTTAGATTCTCCGTCAATAAATTTTGTTTCACACATTTCAATTACATTTACATGTAGATTCAATATACGTTTAAAAACACTTACCCTTATATATATCTAATATAATTTACTCTTACTCAATTATTAATATAACGATAAAATATCTAAATAATTATCATGTCTTTAATTGAACGAATTTAAACCATAGATTATCTGGTACTAATCAATTTACTTCGGTGGCTAAATGAATTGTTCTTGTTCCTAAAGTTCACGGGTTCGAACACTAGCGGATGCAGCAGAGTAATTGAACATTCATTGTCAAATGGTTGAGAGTATTTGAAACAGATACTACTTTATAATCACCTTGGTTAATAAAAAAAACCATTGAGAGAACCTCTACCTTTCAAAAAAAAAATTCGTATAATGATAACATTTTCTCATCTCTTACCTGGTCAATATCTGCCATGACATTTTGAGTCTCACCATGTTCTTGAATACGTTCTGAGCTATATATATATATATTTATCTGTACCAACATAAAAAGGGAAAACAGCTGCATGTAAATGTCTGCATCTAGCCATAGTTTTCAGATGATCATATTATATATCTCATATAAGTATATATATTTATGTAACTTTACTTGCAAACAGAAGTGTATATATATATATAGATATCTAAGTCATTGAAAACAACTACACTTACATGGAAGACATTGCTTTGAACTTCATATATCTCAAAGGTGATATACCTATATATACAGCTGAAAGGATTGAAGGAGAGACAGTTAGTGCTTTATTTGTGTAGTTGAGGAGGATTGAAGGACAGATATTTTTATAGGAACCTACCAATCAATATAATTATTGACGTAAATTATTAGGGAAAGAGAAACAGTGAGGGATTGGGAGTTTATGCTTTTAGAGAAGAACACGCGGCTTGTGTGTTTATCAGAGAAAAGTTATTGCAAATGGCCGCACTGTCATGTTTTTTCGAACGCATACAGCAAACACCATAAGTGTTTCCAGGAAAGAGGATAAGAGGGGAGACTTGGAAGAACGAGAATCAAATGAATTTTTTTTGGATGTAATATTTGTGGAAGGAAAAATGGGCACTGGCCATGGCCATGCATATATGTTGAAAGATACTTGGCTGAATCTGCACCAGTTGAAGGATCACTTTAATCAAACCCTTGTTAAAAATCTCAGAAAACAACCCACATGTCCAAAACATGAAATCTCCATGTCGGTACGTACGTACACACAAAGCAGATGAACATTTTGTTATGCGTCTGATTGTTTCCTGCGAAATTTTTTAGGGTCAAGGGCTTACATGTGCAACGCTCTGATAAATTTTTTTTGAAGGTTTGTAATCCTAGACATGTTGTAACATTTCAAGTTAAAATCGATCGTAATGTAACTTTTTTTTGTTGTAATCAAAGTTATGATCAATTGTATAACTCTTTAAATTGAACATGATAATTTTTAGGTTAAAACTCGCCGTAAATTAGTCTTAGATTAGGCTGCCACACAATAGAACTACCCTAAACTGAAAGAAAATTTGTACTCAAACTGTGAAAGGGGAGTCCGAGTTAAATATATGTTAGTGTGGAATAAAGCTTCTATGTTGAGGTGCTTGTGGTTGATTTTGTTTTTGGATGGTTTGAATTGACAAATATATTATGAAAGGACGCAGTATTTGACAAGTGCAAAGTGAAGAGCAAGTTAATAACTTGAATTGTCAGATTGACCATTTGTGCATTCTTTACGACAATGAACTGAACATGGAAGCTTCATGAAGGTGTAGAAGACAGCAATATATTTAGAGTGATTTAAAATTGAGTGGATGCTCAGTTTTCATGGATACACTGAAGCCTGTGTTGCTAAGAAGATACAAAAGGTCGCAATTAGAGCAACATGGTTTGCTGGGCTGTTAATATCACCAGTCGTGTTTTCTCATAGAATAAAAGAGATTTGCCCCTACTCGACTGTTAATTATACATGCACCCTCCTTACTTTTTTTAATTCAAGTGTGTCGACCATAGATATTCTTCGTATAATTCTTTCGATTCTCAAGTTATTGCTTTGACTAATTTGGATTGACCCAAGTTATATATCTGACTTTGGTGAGTGAGTCTCATAGCATATATTTTCTGGATACACAAGGATTCGAACTTAGAGATTTACATAAGTAATATCAAATTACTTACCACTTGAATCAGCCCCGTTGGTATAATATTGAGTAGTTCGCTATTAGACAACTAATCAATATCTTTTGAGTTTATATTTGGGGTAATTTGATAAATAACGCATGTTATAAACAATACATATTTGAAAATTCAAGTTATTTATATTTTAGATAAACTACTCTAGAAATCACTAAATTTTAGAGTTTGTATTAATTTTATCACTAAATTTAAAAGACTTCAATTATAACATTAAACCTTGATTTTGATTTCAATGTAAGTATTAGGTCATTAAATCATTAGTGGTGGGATGATTTGACCATCCTTTCTCTTAAACTTTTGTTTGTCTATCGATTTTGAAAATAAATTTTAAAATATTTCATTTTAGACATTGAAGTTTAATTTGTGTATCATTCCAATTCCTACATTTAATCATCAAACCTATAGTTACTATTAGTTGATCATCCCCGCCACTTGTTGCCATTCACAACAAGATTAACACTAAAACATTCACAATTCACTCATATTTTTTCTCTACATATTGATTTTTCACAAAACTCGTTCAAAACGATGAAAATTCATCTAAAAGCTCGATTTTCTAATACTCTAGTCTCTTTT